CCAGCAAAGGACCAGCTTAAACCAGCAAAGGACCAGCTTAAACCAGCAAAGGACCAGCATAAACCAGCAAAGGGACCATTTTAAACCAGCAAAGGACCATTTTAAACCAGCAAAGGACCAGCATAAACCAGCAAAGGGACCATTTTAAACCAGCAAAGGACCAGTTTAAACCAGCAAAGGACCAGCATAAACCAGCAAAGGACCAGCATAAACCAGCAAAGGACCAGTTTAAACCAGCATCCCAGCGTCAAAACATACCTAACCAGCATATGCTGTTTTTTTCAACAGGGAAAGAAAAGAAAAAATCATTTACTCACACTCGTGATGTTCAAAACATATGTGCCGTTCTTTAATTTAACACAAAAAGTAAACGTTAACCTTTGTCACCATTCACTTTCATTGATAAAAAAAAAACATGTTTGGATAAACAGAAATTTGTGGGCTATTCGAAGATATAGGCTACAACAAATGTTGGAAAATTATGCACTGGTGTGGTCTTAAAGAAATGTTTAATAGCAAATTAAAGACAAGTATAATGAAACTCAAAACCATAAAACATGCTCCAAAACAGTTGTTTTGTGTTATAAGGCCAGTGTTTTCACCCTGTTGGAGTTTGTTGTGGCAGTTTGAACTGGCTTTTGACACATTGTGAAAAATGTTGAATTCATTTTTATTTTGAATAATTACCATTAATTATGGTACATACTCTATTCTAGCAACATTCAAGTGTTCTTGTCCCTGAGTAATATCTGCCTAGACCTAATTCTGAAGAGAACACATAAATTGCTTTTAGACATTAGCCATCCATATACAAGCAGAGAGAAGTCTCTGGTTGGTGGAACTGGAAATGACTTCTGTTCGTCACAGCACCTCGCACGTTTCTTTGTCTTCATGAACTGCCCTGAAATACAACTAAAACATAAACAATTATGTTTTGTTGGCACAAAAGTAGCAGTTCAGTCTGGTTTTGGTTTGTTTAGTTTTAACAAATGTGATAATTGCAACCAAAATACAATGTTGTGAAAAGTTTTGTGTTTGCCGGGAAGTGTTCTAATGATAGCTAGCTTTAGCTACCTACTGAGCCACTGAAATGGCTTTTTTCTTGGCCTCCATCTGCCTCTTGAATTGCTGAGAACTGCTGGGCCTCTGTGTTGCGGAAGAGGCCAGGCTGGGAGATGGGAGTGTCGAGAAAGCGAACTTTGTCTGCGTCCCGCATCTCAGCTAGAGATGGCGTTCCTGGACTACCAAAGTAGACATCCCTGTCCGAGGGCAGTCGATGACGAAGGACCTTGCTGCTGCAGCAGTGGGTCAAACAAAAAGGGGCCACAAAAAGTCATCCATATCCATTCATAACTATGTTTGGAAACCTAAAAATTTGACATAAACTACAACACATTTGTTTTCAGAGGCACAAGTATTCTTAATGACAGCTATTTGTAAATGCTGCTACACAAAAGCAGCTGTTAACATATAAATCAATGCATGCATGGTAGTTCAAGCTCTATGCATTCATAACATTGCCAAAGGTATTCTGGTGGTGGTTTGGGAAGTGAATAATGCATAGGTGAAACGGCAGGGCTGGGTTGGCACAGTAAACTATTGCCCAGCACTTTTTTGAAAGAAAAGCAACTATTACACTATTAGTGTTTTAGCATGAATGTTTTGTTGACCTCAGTTTTTAAGAAAAGTCTGGAAAAGAGAAGCAACTGGGTTTAGAGGAGAATTAGAAATTTGTAAGAGAAGAGGTAACGGAAAAAAAAAACAAGAATGAGAAGGAAGAGGAAAGAGTTCATCAGGCTGGCCATAATAGCCTCCCTGTGGAATGGGAGTCTGGTGACTCATGGGTTAGTCCACTGGAAGAGCACACACACATCCAGCATAAAACCGGATACTTCTGCTGTGGCGACCCCTAATGGAAGCAGCTGAAGGAGAGAGAAAGAGAGTTTAAGTCCTAAACTAAGCCTTCTATCTTGTGATTTTATTTCCTTCCAGGAACCATACAGTTGTCTTTTCTCAAAAGGACATTGTGAATGTTACTCTAAACAGAAGACAATTATATTTGTATCAATACATTTTTTTTAACAAAACAAATGCTGGCATAGCAGTGGTTGTGTGGGTGTAGAAAAATAATAATATAAAATAATGTCATAGCCACCCTAGTAAAAAAAAAAAAAGCCTATGCCATAATTTATTTAAAATACATTTTTTTCATACTAAGTATACTTCAAAACCATTAACATATTTATTGACATATCACTTAAGACTTAGTGATATAAAATTATAATTAAACTTTATTTGGAGTATTTCTTTATTGCACAATGCACGGTTCTTAATAGTATGCCCAAAATGTCTATGAATATCATTAATATAAAATGTGTAAATATCACTATTAATAAGGATTAAGTGTGTAATAATTATGATCTCTGTATTATATCAGTCTTTAAATGCAAGACACTTAAAGTGTACCTGAAGTATACTTGCAATAGTTCCACTTTAGCACAATCAGATATACTTATATCTTTAGTTGGACCTCAGCACTACTTCTGCACAATTAAAGTGCATTAAGCACAAAAGTAATTGTTCCAATTTAGCAGACTTTAAGTATAACAGTTTAGTACACCAAAAGTACAATTGCAGGTTATTTTTATTAAGCACAACAATATGTAAATGTATTTGTAGTATACTTAGCACAAAATAAATGTATTTCAAATTAATTGTAGTATTTTATTTTCACTAGGGCAGTAGTATCATAGTCCTTGTTTCACAATCTAGTCAAACCCAGATGGTTACATTCAAGTCCCGCTGAGTGTTATTTCCAACTGAATATTCTTTTTGACTCATAAATGTCACATTACTCAAGATTCTTCAAGTTGTTTAGTTGTTATTAATCTTCTTTATTGTTTTGTTCTCTCTTTTTCCTCTCAGTCTGGATTCAGAAAGAATCTTTAATGATGATGATGATGATGATGATGAAGACCGTGTTGCTGCTGATCTCAGTACTCCTAACTGAGGCTCTTCAGTCCCAGGGCAGACCGGCCACACAAGATGAGAGTCAGTTTTTTTTTCTCTAGTACTTTTGTTGTATCATGTCTCAGTTGAAGATGTGTTAATAATAAACCATATCTTCCCTTGACGGAGTGCTTTCTGACAACATCCTGGATTTAGTAATGGTTAAAATAAAATGCCTACAGCAGAGCAAGTGTGCAAATGACATTGGAAACACTTTATCACGGAATATATAGAAATCATTTGAATTTGTTTGCTTATCTCGGACAGTTAATCTAGTGCAATTAATTATTTTAAAATGATTTTAATTGGTTAATTATGCCCCCTGATCCATATGTAAATTCTGTAGGAAGAAATATTTGAATTAAAGCAATGTAAGCTTGAATTTTAATAGCCTTGATAAATAACTACATTTCTTTCATCCTGTTCTTAGTGTTAGCCCTGGTCGAGCTGACGCCGTACACTTTGTATCCGGGGGACAAACTGGAGCTGAGCTGTAAAGGTATCGAGGAGATACAGGAAGTGACCTGGACTAAGGACCACGTTCCCCTGGTTGACGGAGAGCACACCCGCCTGCGCAACCATCAGATGGAGATTGAAAGAGTAGAGCCGGCCGACTCTGGTCTGTATGCTTGCTTTGCTCAGGGACCCAACAGCAACCATACAGATTTCTTCAATGTCAACGTTACAGGTGAGAAATTATGATTTGGGTTGATTTTCATATTGTTCACAACAACAAAACATTTAACCTACATGTTTGTTCTCGATCAGATGGATTGGCTTCCTCAGAAGACGATGAAGAAGATGAGTCTTCCTCAGAGGAGGCCAAGCTATCAAGTGACCAGAAACTGCTTCGTGAGTCGCACTCCTCTCTTAGTCAAACTCTAAGTGCTCCAAACTCTGACTCAAAGAGCTGCAAATGTCAATAACAGTATCAGATCATCAAGAAATTGTTAGGATTTTACTTTAAAGCAGGAATTATAAAAAGAAATAGGTAAAATTTTGTCTAATAAGCCATAGCCGTCTTGTGGAATATGCTGAGCTTTTGTTCATTAGACTGAAATTCTTAATTTCTTTATTAGTCTCGGAGTCCCAAGGGCATTATCAAAACAGTCAGATGGAGCAAAACTAGCAACCAACACCCAAATCTCACACACTTTTGATCTCTCTTTAGGAACGTACTCTTATTGTTGTTTTGGATTACTGTTCTAAGATGGTCATGGTCTTGATAATGTTGGAAACAGATGGGAATCTGAACACCAAGGAAGTTCAAGGTCCAAGATCCATTGAGAAACAAATGTTTTACTGAAGATTTTCAACAAAGTGACAACAAAGCACAAACATGCATGAACAAAAGAAGTGACTTTCCACAAATAAAGAGAAAAAAAAAGAACACTAAACGTTTCAGTCCATCCCGATATTGTTCACATTGTAGTTTCATTTAGTTTTGAAACAATAGTTTCAAATTACCACTTTCATTTTTGCCATCTTGTTTTATGTACTTTCTATCTGTTTGTCAGCAATGGCGCCTGTCTGGGCTCAGCCTGATCAGATGGAGAAGAAGCTCCACGCTGTTCCCGCCAGCAAAACCGTCAAATTCCGTTGCCAGGCCAATGGTAACCCTACACCAACACTCAAGTGGCTCAAGAACGGCAACGAGTTTAAGAAAGACCAGAGAATAGGAGGCTATAAGGTGAGAGCACCTGGATGTGACTGCAGACACAGCACTGAAATGCTACACTAAGTTGTATGGACCACTTCTGTGGTACTTTTTTCCTCCTTTTTGGATATTCACAGTCTATGGTTGCTATATGCCAGGGGTTCTCAAAAGTTTACTACATTCAAATGTCCGAATCTGAATTCTCATCAACGTCAAAAGGTCCGAAATAACTGTTATTAGGCCTACAAAACTTGTTTTTAATAAACATGCTTATAACTTTATATAACAATTCAACTTTATATATGCTATTAGTAATACTTTAGTCGTACTTGCATTTACTCTCTGAACTCTAACTTAACTAAATGCCCAATAAAGCAGTTCTCATGTACATATTTTCTGTTTCTGAAATAGTACTTCAATGTAACCAGCAGTCAGTTCAGCTGAATTGCTAAAATCTTGAATTATAACTGCAATACACTGTTATACAGCAGTGAATTATATTACTTTATTTTATATATCATGCAGCACAAACGTCTGTCTGTGTAACAAACTATGTGCATATTTACAGACGAACTACATTCATGTTCATATATGCCCAGACAGTCAAAAGAGATAGATTTTTGGAAACGCCGTTTTGTACTCATTCATTCACAAGTCTGTTTTATGTTATATATCTGAAGATTAGATTTTGAAGTTTGCAAATTATTTGCACCAAAACAGCATCTGAACAGACAGGAGTTGTTCAGAGCACGCCTCTTTGATTACATCAGCCTTTGATTTACATGACACATGTAAAGGTGGAGTGTCGAGGGAATCATGAGGTGGGCGTTTCAGAAGGGTAGAAAATAATTATTCATATTTAAACTGCCCTCATGCAAAGTATATATATATATATATATATATATATATGAACAATCAATATATTAAATTATTTATTGTATACTGAAAATATACTGAATAATATTGTTAATATATTCTGATACATAAGGAATTGCTTTTTCATATATTGAAAATTAATGAACAATATATTTACTTATATATCGTAATATATGTCATTTTAGATTCAATAATACCCTTCATAATATGTAGATGTACATATAAAAAATATGGTACTGTGTGTAAATATATTTGAACATATATGTACCATATATATTCACATTTATATGGCAGCATGCATATATATATCTATAATATATGTACCCAATTTTGAAGAAAATATATATTGTGATATATATCCATGTATTTGTATTTATATATAGCACATAAAGTACTAAATCAATTAACAAGACATCCAATTGTCCAAAAATTCAAACCTTTTCAGTATTTGTTTTCATTTTTTTACCATCACACATATTTTCATGTATTAAATGTATGACTATGCAAACAATGAAGTGAGATAATATGTGTTCAGCTTTATGTAAACCCAAGCATTAACTCTTGAGAAATTGAGTGTTTCAAAGCTATAGCATGTAAAAATATAGTGCAGTTTTTTTGTCTTAATTTCTATATATAATTGTTTTCTATGTATCAATAAATAGCCTTACATGGTCCATGAATATATTGCAGTATACTGAAAAATATAAACAGTTCTTTACCATATGAAATGTATTATGTAATATATTGCATTATATTTTCTAGTATATTTCCATATATTTTTGTTTTGCCTTTTAATGTATTTAGCAGTTTTCTGCTTTTACATGTTGAGCTGCAAGAAGATTTTGTCTTAATATCTGAAGAGTTCTGACTCAGATTCACTTCTTCTTTCTAATTTTGTACATTATGTGTGTGTATATATATATATTACGTATATACAGGTGCATCTCAAATTAGAATGTCTTGGAAAAGTTCATTTATTTCAGTAATTCAACTCAAATTGTGAAACTCATGTATTAAATAAATTCAATGCACACAGACTGAAGTAGTTTAAGTCTTTGGTTCTTTTAATTGTGATGATTTTGGCTCACATTTAACAAAAACCCACCAATTCACTATCTCAACAAATTAGAATATGGTGACATGCCAATCAGCTAATCAACTCAAAACACCTGCAAAGGTTTCCTGAGCCTTCAAAATGGTCTCTCAGTTTGGTTCACTAGGCTACACAATCATGGGGAAGACTGCTGACCTGTATATATATATATATATATATTTTTTTTTTTTTTCACGCCCACATGGAATCTGCATTGATTGTATGTCCTGATATGCATTAAGTAATTAATATTTCTTATTAGATATGTGTATATCGCTATAGGTTCGAGAGCACATGTGGACCATCATAATGGAGTCGGTGGTACCGTCAGACAAAGGCAACTACACCTGCCTGGTGGAAAACAAATACGGCAGCATCAATCACACCTACCAGCTGGACGTAGTTGGTCGGTCATATTTCTGTTCTTCTCTTAAATCTGCTTATTATAAATCTGCTTATTATGATGAGTTAGTCTGCATGTTAAAGAGGCTGCTTCCTGCAGGCTATATGACTTTCGTGTTTATTGAACATTTGTGGAATATCCCATTTTTCGTAATACTGATCCCAACTTTGATTTCTTTAAGAGGAGAAAATGCTATTCAGTTTTTATGTTAATTGGGGTCATTTCTGTGTAATGTACCTATAATATGTTTGTGCGTGTGTTTTATACAGAACCTTCAGAGCACAGGCCGATTCTTCAGGCGGGGTTGCCTGCTAACCGTACAGTAGTGGTGGGGAGTGACGTGGAGTTTGAATGTAAAGTCTTCAGCGATCCTCGGCCTCACATCCAGTGGCTGAAGCACATTGAAGTGAGCGGCAGTAGAGTCGGCCCTGACGGACTACCATATGTTCGGATCTTGAAGGTAAAACCTAAAACTAGTCTGAGATGGGCCTAAGTGTGTTTCAAGGTTGTCGGCCAATTACAGTGAAAATTCTTTTATTTTTCTAGACAAAATAATGTTGTGACAACTCAGAGTTTGCAATATTTCATAGTCCTACTGTTTGTAAAAATGAACAAGTAAACTTGCTTGTCTGTTTAACCATAAACATCCACTGTAAGTGTATATAAATACATTAAAGGATTAGTTCACTTCCAGAATAAAAATGTACTGATAATTTACTCTCCCCCATATCATCCAAGATGTTCATGTCTTTCTTTCATTAGTCGCAAAGAAGTTAAGGTTTTTGAAGAAAACACTCCAGGATTTTTCTCAATATCCTCCTGAGACCCAGCTATGGAGTTTTTGCCTCTGTAGTGGACATTATATTTTAGTGAATTTCTCTGAGACCTCACATGTCACAGTTGTAAGTCTGGATGTCCTGTACAGAGCACATTCAGAGCTTTTCAGAGATACAAAATGATTGGATGTTTCACCATGACCACTCCCTCTCCTTGGTTTTTAAAAATGGCTGACATTAATTTAGCGATAAAATTTTACATCCTTATGGAAATATTTTGTAATTATAATTTAAATCTGATTAATTTTCAAATTGTTTGTCATAAATCAACATCTCAGGAAAATGTTATGGGGTTTCAAATCAAAATATGACTTACTGTTATGAAACAGGACATAATTTCATGTCCACTGTAGAGGACACCAGGACTAAAAGCATGTTTATTATACATTTTGGGAGACAAAAGATTTGAATAGGAAAACAAATTATATATCAATATTCTTATGAAATATTAGATATTATTATGAAAATCTGGCCAATTACTACTCCCATTATTACACTTCTTTTTTCAACATGCTGTCCCAACAGCACTTTAATATGCAAATTAGATACAGTGTGTAGATAACATTGTGTTTAATGGGAAAACCAGTTTATGGATTTTTTACACACACATATTGCATAAAGCAAAATGGTGTATCAAATAATTTTGTTATATATTTTATAACATAGTTGAGAACCATCCTTAAACAAAGTTAGTTTTAAAAAATCCTGAAACCTAAAAATTGATTGGTGATTAAAAAAAAAATCCCATTGTTTTTGCCTTTTCATGTCTATTCGTGTCATTTTATTTTTAGAAAAACCTGGTGTCCTCTACAGAGGACATAGCATAACATATTAATAAAATATAATTTTTAAAAAATGTTATTTTACCATTTTCTTCTTATGCTCCATAGGCCTATTTTGTAAATTATGCTTGGCGGGCCATATATAATATAGACTATTAAGACAGCTGCGGGCCGCTTAACATTCATCCACGGGCCGCAGTTTGGACACCCCTGCTCTAAAACAATGTCATTACATGAAAAAATACTAAATTCACAAAGCTTTTTATTTCTGGTTCTCAGGAGGATATAATGGACTTCAATGGTGGGCAACGGGTTGAAGGTCCAAAATTGCTGTTTCAGTGCAGCTTCAAAGGACTCTACAAGACCCCAGCCGAGGAATAAGGGTCTTGTCTAGTGAAACGATCGCACGACTATATATATATTAGGGGTGTAATGATACGCGTATTCGTATTGAACCGTTTGGTACGAGGCTTTCGGTTCGGTACGCATTACAAACAGAACGATTCGTTGGATTAATCCTATTAGCACACATTTGGAAAATAAAAGAGCTTAAAGTGTGTGAAATATAATGTTCTCAGTGTCCGCGAGCTCAATAAGGCAGCCCAAACGACGTAACAGGAAAAGTGCTGTCTGGCCCGCGATAACCTCCCCTTGCTGGGCTGCCGACGATAGCCAGAGATATAGTCAAAAACATCAATTATTGGCAATATTAAGAGGATTTTGCATTTCCAATTAATGTAGGCCTGTTACATTCTTATTTTTATTAGGCCTATTATTATTCTTATTCTTATTATGAAGTTACTTTTATTATTAAATTAAAATTACAATTAATTTGTCCCGCAATAATTAGGCCTACCGCATAACTGACGCGCTGCGAGGACAATATTAGGCTATTTACTCCTCAATTAAAATGTTTTTTAAAAAGGTCTTTTAAAACAGTTCTATCATACAATGAATTATAGTCCTATAATTAAAATATTAACACTGAAGTCATCAATAAAAATCAATTAAATAAAAAGCTTTTATTTCAAGCACCGACTTTCAAAAACAACCTGTTTAACACGAAATACATTTCTTCTCATTTTTTTCACTATGTATAGGCCACAAGAAAAATATTAAGGGGAATAAATGTAGACAGCTATACCGTTATCAGCATATGTTGAAGTAGATTCGTCTCTCGTCGTCTCTGAGAGTATATGTGGCGTCAGATGCCGAAAGCTCTGTCATTCTGTTTTTACTTTCACTTTCTGTATAGTGAATTGACTGAGATTAAGACGTTCACCGGCATAACTCTTGCGCAAAGTTTGCACGTGTGTAAATGCGGGCTTGTGTGATATCCATTGGCTCGCCTTCATGGTTTAAAACAGAAATATTTCCAACATTGCGATGTAACCAATTATTTGAAGCTGCATTGGAACTGCAATTTGGACCTTCAACCCCTTGATCTCCATTGAAGTTCGCTATGGAGAAAAATCCTGGAATGTTTTCCTCAAAAACCTTCATTTTTTTTCAACTGAAGAAAGACATGAACATCTTGGATGGCATGGGGTGAGTAAATTATCAGGAAATTTGTATCCTGGAAGTGAAATAATCCTTGAATTTGTCTCTGTGGTTATCAATGCGGATACCATTGAAAGCGCTTAAGTTGTAACCAGGAACATTCCTTTAATTCTGTTGATCACCGAAGCTCTGTGGATTGCAAAAGCTGATTCCAAATCATCAGTTCTCAACCTGCTAGACTAGACTGCCTGGCGGACATCTCAGCACAGATTAAAGAACATAACCTGCAGCTCAAACTAGCAAAGACAGAGCTTCTCATCTTCCCAGGCACTCTGATGCTACAGCACAGTGTCACCATACAGCTAGGATGATCAACAATAATCCTGTCGAGATCAGCCAGAAATCTTAAGGTAATCTTTAATGACCAGCTGACCTTTAAAGACCACATTGCAAAGACAGCACGGTCACACAGGTTTGCATTACACAACATCAAGAAGATTTGGTCCTGAGCAGGCTGCACAACTTCTTGTCCAGGCTCTCCAAATTTGCTACCAGTTGCGGCTTGTTTCAAGTTCAAGGCATTGAAGCTTGGGTACAAAATAGCCACAGGCTCTGCACCGTTCTACCTCAACTCACTCTTCTGAGTCTATACCCCCAACAGAAGCCTGAGGTTGATAAGTGAGCGATGCCTCGTGTGTAGGCCTGTCACGATAACAACTTTTTGTTGTGCGATATATTTCCCCAGAAATAATTGCGATAAGCGATATTATTGTCACTTTAAAGATCATGTTATGCCACTGAATATATAATCATAATGTAACAGCATAATAATGCAAGAAGGCCTACACACTTCCAAATGACAACAAACTTTTAATTTTTAAGAATATTTAAATAATGGGAATTAAGTATCAAAATATTAGATACCTTAAAAAACCTGAATAAATAGTAAATAAACATTTTCTAACAAAAAGTGCAAAGTAACAAGTAGAAAAAAAGAAAAATGCACAAAGAACTTGTATGGAGATTTTTCCATCTACAGATTTTTCCCTGACCTTCTTTTCTCTGTAAATTAAGAGTGCACACTATTGCTGAAAAACACAATCACTACTTAGCAGTCAGATGTCCGTATGCACAAAGGCACTGATCCCTAAACAAGATCATATCTGCAGATGAACCTTTTTTTTTGTAGAAGCATTTTTTAAATTTGTACTAGCAGCACCTCCTGACTACACCACGTTATGTACAAGAAGCTGCAAAAGACACAAGCACAAGTGGAATGTACAAAACATGGTGACATTAATTTTGAAGTAAATATATTGGACGATATATTGCGTCACCAAAAATGATTGAGGTCATGTACATATATTGCGCGATAAGTCGATATATTGATTATTGCGACAGGCCTACTCGTGTGACCTTTCAGTGAAAATATGTATCTAGGTAAAAGAGTAGCAAAACTTGAGCTTTAACTTAGATTTGAACAATGAATATATGAGCTTGAAATTGAAATTTACACTCACAGCTCGGATGTCTAAAGCTGAATGTTTCCAATTTACAATCATAGAGAATAATCAAACTTGTTTTGAATTCAGAGTTGCAGATCAATAGTTACAGATGTGTAAAATAACTTGCACCTAAATACAAAGCCAGGCACAATTGTGCATTATATATTTACTTTTGCACTTTACTTATGCAGTTCATAAAACATCAAAACGCATAAGTAACAGTTATTTGTAAAACACTGGAAAGCCTTCACTCTGATAGGTAAATATGACGTTTTTGGCAGATTCTCATAATCTATTTCATAAGAGCAGTAAAGGCAGGGGCCTAACAAGGACACTGTGTTCCAAAATCCTTATCCAAAAATGCTCTTTTTCCTCTGGTGGGTTTTCCCAGAGCTATCCGGCCTTATTCTGTGGTTCTTTTCTCTATAGACGGCAGGCATCAGCACCACGGATAAGGAGATGGAGGTACTAAAGATCTGGAATGTGTCTTTAGAGGATTCTGGAGAGTACACCTGCTTGGCTGGGAACTCTATCGGCCACTCCCATCACTCTGCATGGTTGACTGTCTATAAAGGTATCTTTGCTTCTCATGGTACTATTTTTGTTTAATGATTTATTCTTTCAGTCTAACAGCATTGATTTATTCATTCAGTCTGACTCCCACTGGGAGTTGAATTGGTCACATGACTGGTGGTTTTCATAAAATCAATAATACTTTGTATGATTGTATGATTTGTATGATTTTATGGAAGGCACAAGCTATTATGTAAATTGTATGAAAGAATTGTATGAAAGTTATGGTTTACTAGAACTCTCTATATGTGTGTATATATAGTTGTAAACCACTATTTAATGATAATATGAGCTAACTGTCAGTTTCCTGTCAATATGTCAGCATCATCCTCCAGGCCAGCTCCAGCCGTCCTATGCCTGACTTCTGTACTGCCATCTGCCCTGGACTGCGTGTTTTTCCCAGTCATGGTAGTTTTTGTTTGTTTGTTCGTATTTTGAACCAAATGAAGCTCACAATTTTCTCTGCACCTAGTCCTCATTTTCTCCTTCCACAAACCCTGACATACTTATAATACAACATGCTGTTATTTCTTCATTTACAAAATGTTAATGTAGGTTGTGATGAAAAGTGAAATGTTTTCTATGAAAGACTGTAGTGAAAGTTGTTTTATATTTGTATTATTTTATTTTTAAATACATTCTGCAAAGTATAAATGTGTATGTGTGTGTGTGGTTCAGGTATACCCTACATTATGGGGACAAAATGCACCCACAAAGATGGCAATATCTAAAATCCTTGTGGGGACATGTTGGGCTCCATGAGGAAAGTCGCTTAGAAATCATACTAATTGAAGTTTAAAAAAAAAAAAAATCTAAAATAGGAAAACGTTTTCTGTGAGGGATAGATTTAGTCTTATAGAAAATACAGTTTGTACAGTATAAAACCATTACATCTATGGAATGTCCTCATAAAACATGGAAACCCAACACGTGTGTGTGTGTTTTGTTTGGGGAGTCGCTTTTAGACTCAATGTTCCAATAAAGTCTCATTTATACAGACAGTAAGTTGGAGTGGTGTCTCTGTAAATGCTGCACAGCAAAGAAACACTAAAGATTAGTGCCCACATTGTAGTGGTTAATAGTGGCTGCTTGGACAGGACACAAATGCGCTGTCCACAGATTGTGAAAGGCCAGTCTTTAAAAAGTGATATGGTCACTCGAACACCTGAAGTCATATCATTGCATTAAAGACTTACAGTTACAGCCTAATTGTAAGCATGTGAGGGCAACTACACTTAATTAAGAGCTCATACTTGATAAAAAATTATGTGGCCACCCAACCACCATACATATAAATAAAGTAAAGATTACTGGAGTATATTTTACAAGAAAATACTGTATCATCAGCCTTTTTGCTTCTAAATGTCACTTAATTTAATCTGTCACGTTTAATTTAATCTGTTTTATCATTTATCTGTAATTACTTGTGCTCATTTACATAGCCTACGTACAATTGAATGGAAATGCCTTTTTTGTTGTTGGTGGTGCTTGATGGTGGTGGTGCTGTGATTGAATTAATTTATGAAAAAAAAAGGTAATAGCTGCGCATGCGCTATTCTGACACTACAATTGGTGCACAGATGGAGTCCACTGACAGGCTTGTCCATGCACATTTTTTCCTCCCCGATGTAGATTTAAAGCCGCACTATGCAACTTTTTCTGTGTTCAAAATTTGCAAAATGTATATAATGAGCGAGACCATCATGAATTCATCTTCCAAACCGTGTTTTGTCTTATTCCGAATCACTACGATACACTTATAATAAGTACTTATATTTGGACTATTGTAGCCTGGTCGGGTCGTCACCGCTGCGGAGTAACACATACCTGCGTGAATCGCCATAGACATAAACTTAGAGAAGTAGCTCCGGTTGGAATGTTCTTCCGCGGGATGTGTGCAGTTCAGTTTATTAACCGCTAGAGCGCCAAAAGTTACATAGTGCTGCTTTAACTTAAAGGAGATTAAACTACGGTAAATGGTACAATATACAGTTAAGTCATATAGTAACATTTTTAGCCAAATGCACAATGATGTAGCGTTTTTCTCACACGCACCCATCACTTTGCTTTAGAAGACATTAACTCATCAAAACTGGGTTCGTTGGATTAACTTTGTATTTATTTTGTGTGGTTTTGAAGTGTCAGATTTGAGGGACCCACACAATCCTTGAAAATGCTTGAATTTTAATGTAGTGTTTTCAAGGTTTGAAAAGTGCTTGGATTTTGAATAAAGTGCTTGAAACCGCTTGAAATTGAAGTTGCATTGGTTTCATAATAATTCGCTATCTTACTGAATAGTTCATTTTTTGGATATAATAAGCCTAATACGTTTCCCTTTTGCATAAATCAAAAACGCTCCGGTTACTTACGTAACTTCGGTTCCTTGAGATAAGGGAACGCTATGGGGAAACTCCTGTTTACTCTGAAACTGGAGCCTGATTTTATCGTGTTCATGTAGCTGCACGAACCAATGGAGCTTCAACATGCCAAAAGGGGTGGAGCCTACTGCTATATAAGACGACTCTGAGCGCCATTCAGTCAGAATCTTTAGACTGAAGTGACAGTCATGGACTCGCGTGCAGCTTTATAGCATGGCAGCCTTATCTCAAGGAACCGAGGTTAAGTAACCGGAGAGTTCCCTTTCAAATGGTCTCTCCCGTTGCGCTAACACGCTATGGGGAATGCATCCAATTGTGCCATGCTATAAGCAAGTGCAGAACGAAGCCGCTCTGTGAGTCCAGCTCCGTAGCGCCCGTACTGAGGGCTCCTGTAAGTCTGAGCTAACAATGAGACCCAAGCCACCTAGGCTGAGGACTACATAACAACACCTTCTCCACTTACAAAAGGAATTAGGTAAGCTTAAGTGGACAAAATCCATCCAAGTTATAGAACCTGGTGAAGGTAGACGGCAACAACCAGCCGGTGGCTGCACAGATATCACCAATAGAAATCAACATACACTCTAAGGGTCCGAACCGAGCAGAATGGATTAGGACCCTGCTCATCCTCTGAATTGGAAAGACCTAGAAGGGTGGTGACTTGTGCTCTGAATGGAGTGAAGAGCACTTAGGCACATAGCCGTGTCTTGGTTTGAGGATGACTCTACAGTCATTAGGCCCAAACTCAAGACATGAAGCACTGACTGACAGTGCCTGCATGTCACCCACTCACTTGACTAACGATAACAAAAGGAGGGTGGTCTTAAGCGACAGGGGCCACAAGTTGGCCGACTGGACCGACTTGAAGGGAGGGCCCCGTAGGGCCCTGAGGACTATAGATAAGTCCCAAGTCAGCATAGTATGAGGACGAGGTGGATTCAATCTCCGAGCTCCCCTCAGAAACTTAACAACAAGGTCGTTACTGCCGAGTGACTGGCCAGCTGCAAGAGAATGATTCGCCGTGATGGCTGCCACATATACTTTGAGCGTGGAAGGGGTGGGCCCCTTGTCCAGTAGCTCTTGTAAAAAGGTCAGCACATTCCGTGCTACACACCAGTCAGAAAAGACTGACCATTTAAGGGTGTAGAGGCGTCTTGTAGATGGGAATCTAACCTCCAAGATGGTATTAGTCACACTCGCACGGAGCTGTAAAGACTCCCATCAAGGAGCCAAACATGAAGTCTCAACAGCTCTGGCTGGGGATGCCAATTCATGCCCCTCATTTGCGAGAGGAGGTCCGTCCTCAGTGGTATTGGCCAGGGGTCTGCCGATAGCAGCTGAATCAACTCGGGGAACCATGTCTGATTCCTCCAGAGTGGGGCCACCAGGAGGAACGAAACATCTGACTTCCCTGACCCGTCTGATGACCTGATGAAACAGGGCAACTGGGGGAAGAAATAGAGGCGAGCGCAGAGTCAATCATGGGCCAGGGCATCTCGCTGCTTTGAAAATTTATTGGGCAGTGAAAGTTGTCTTCTGAGGTGAAAAGGTCCACCTCTGCCCTCTCGGAGACAAACCAGATCATTTGAACCATTTGGGGATGTAGTCTCCATTCTCCTGGAGCTACATTGCCCCTGGATAGCATGTCTGCTCCCTGGTTTAGCCTGCCTGGCACATGAACTGCTCTCAATGAGAGGAGTTTGCCTGGCCCATAAAAGGAGGCATGGACCCAACCTGTAAAGGGAGGTTTTTAGGGCTAGGAAAAAACCGCCATCATCTCAGGGCAGTTGATGTGTAAGCATTACTCCAGGTTTGACCAGGAGCCGAACATCAGTCTGCCCTCGTACAGAGCTCCCCAACTCGAGTTGGAGGCATCTGTCATGACCATCTTCCTTCTGGAGGTCAGTCCCAACAGGATGCCTGATTGAAACAGATTTCCAAGGGGCCACAGCTCTGATGCAGCGGTTGGTTACCCTGACATGAAAATATCCCAGATGCCAAGCGTGGGACTATACATGGGCTTTGAGGCAATACTGGAGGGGCCACATGTGAAGCAGGCAGAGGAAACGGCTGACATGAGGCCAAGCATCCTCTAAAAAGCCCTGAAGGGATGTGCAGTCCTGAGTCTGAATGACACAGCTGAATTATCAGGGAGTGTTCCAGCGTAATCCATGCCCGCATCTGGGCAGAATGGATAACTGTCCCCTGGAAGACCACTCGCTGGCTAGGAGACAGAGAGCTCTTGGCTAAATGATTTTTTAGCCCAAGCCGCTCCAGGTGGCTGAGCAGCAGCGAGCTGTGAGTAATGGGTTCCTGTTCCGATCTGGCTAAGTCCAGCCAATCATCTAGGTAAATCATAATGCGGATTCCCATCTGTCTCAGAGGGGAAAGAGCCACGTCCATGTACTTTGTAAAGTCCGTAGAGCCAGAGACAGTCCGAATAGTAGGACTGTATATTGATAAGCCACTCCCTCGAACGCGAATCACAAGAGCGGTCTGTGATGTGGGGCTATTTGGATGTGAAAGTGAGCATCTTTTAGATCCACTGATAAAAAAAAAAAACAGTCCCCGGGGCATATTTGCGTGAGGATCTGCTTTCAAGTCAGCATGCACGGTTCAGATGCTTGGGCCCACCATTTTTCTTGGGAACGAGGAAGTAGCGGCTGTAAAAGCCTGATTTGTTGTTTGCTAGGGGAACCATTTCCACAACTTTTTTTGCAAGCAGAGTTTGCACTTCAGATTGGAGAAAGTGAGCATTGTTGTCCTGTACTGAAGTTTGAATAATGCCTCTGAAGCGAGGTGGCCTGCGAGCGAACTGGAGCGAGTAACCTCATTCTATGGGGCGGGAGTGCTTAGGCAGGAAGCAGGCTGTTCCAGAGCTGACCATTCTAAGCTGAGATTCTCCATGGCCTGGAGAGAATGTGAATCAGCTCTCCGTTGGCCAGTAATAACCCATTGGGGAAAAGGGTGTCAGGATCCACTCCGGAGCATGCCCAGTCCTCCAAATCTGAAGTTGTCAGTGATATAAAATCATCACTGACAGCATTCTCCTCTGATCTGTCTAAAACGATCCAACCGCCTGTAGACGAGGGGCACTAATCCTCACATGTAAACACACTGGTGAATCAAAGTGCTGCTCGAGACTCATGCTCTCGTAGTGAGAGCGGTCTGCTTCAGTGAGTGCAGCCTCGGCATGGGTATGGCACAGGCGC